TGATCAAAGAAATGAAACTAAGAAGCAGACCTTACGAAAATGAGAGAAAATTTAACCGACAGTAATTCGTCTTTGAAGGGCTAGGAGGAAAACCCGAAGGAAAATTGCCAAAGTTAGTGTTCGCTTATGAGTACGCGAGTTATTGCCACTAGATATTTTAAGCTCCTTTCCCTTTTATAGCCATAACTCTAGTCCGAGTACCAATTATGTATATCAAAACTTGGATGCGTGAATTACGTATCCGGATTAAAGATTCCAGAACTTTTAAAATTAATATTATTATTTCATTCAGTAATTTACAGAGTGACTTAATAAAGAATAACTTAATAAATTTTAAATAAAAAGTAAATTATTATGACAATAAATAAAAGTATGTAGAATAATACCAATAATACTCTGACAAATGTATTGCCCAGCTCCAGTATCTTTATTTAATTAAATATACTCCATAATATGATTGCTTACATAACAGTAATCACACACAAGCAAATAACATTAAATTACATTTAAAAAACATGTTTTTACCTACAAACTCATGCCGCAATTCGAAAAGTCAATCGGAAAAATGTGTCCAATTTTTACATATAAACTGTCGATGTTGCCAGAACGAAAACAAAAACCAAGGAAGTTGAGCGTCCATCCTCAAATACGTTGTAAAATTGACCAAAGAGTATCAGTACATATGTAGAAATATTTGATAATTTTTTCAACATTGATAGCCTGGGTTTAATATCCTGAAAGTTTTATATAAAAGTAAATAAAAAGAAATTCGATGCAGTGAATAAATTTTGCGTTTACGCAGTAAATCAAACACTATATATGATAATTATATTATAATTTAACAATGTAGTGTTCGTAACGATAGTCATTAAAATTGTATTAATGTCTATAGAATATGGTGTATATTTCTTTATGAAAGGTGAATTGATGTCTAAAGAAAGGCTTATTGATCCATACTACTTAAAATATTTATTATAAACAAATAATAAACCCACCTAAATAAGCAGCATCTGACACCAATCCACAAAGGAGGGCTCCCATCAGCGCCCTCAATACAGCTTTTCCCATATCACCGCACATTTCTGAACTATGTTTTACAATGGCTATTGGCCATGTAGTATGTACACAGCACTGATCTCTCAGTGACTGATTGTGGACGAAGCCCCCACTTGAAGTAGGGTGAAGTAAAATGTTAGTGGAAGGGTGAGCGCCTTTGTCATTGAAGTTGTTACTTCAAATTTTGTTTAAAGTTGTGAAACATCTTGTTAATATAATTTTATGGTCCATAGCTGTTTATGATCCTACAGAAAGTTGCAGTTTAAATACAAATATTTAAATTACATTATGTTTTCAATTATTTCACATACGTATGTGGAAATCAAACAAAACATAATGTAACATAATCGGAGGTAAAAATATATCATATGTATAAATAATTAATTTAATCTTTAATTTTGTGATTCGTACTAATCCAACAAAATGTTCATGTGTGGTAATAGTATAACAACGTATTTACTTAACGGTGTGGTGAGACAGTGTTTGCAATAAAAATAAACTTTAGTTTTAGGTACAATCGTGTTACGTAAAATTTTGAAAGTTAAATTAATTCGTAGTTTTCATGTTTTCTTTTTCGCTGTAGAATCATTAAATTTCTGCATGGTGTAACGCTTTAATTTATACCTCTGTGAACAAATTTTGGCGTATATACATATATATATGTACAAGACACTAGGCATTAAAGTTTTAATTTTTTCTTACAAGCCACACTTCGTCTTCATTTCCATCGCAGTTCCCAACTGTGTCTTTTAGTGTTTGTGTTGTTAATGTTTTCTACGTTTATTTAAAATAAAACTTACTTAAAAATTAATTTAATGTAATAATTTTAGATTAAGACGCTCGCTCGTCCTTAAGGTATGTTAAACATATCACATTTTTCAAATGTTGACAGTTTTACAACGCCAAATTTATAATTCTATAATAAGGCATCCTTTTGAATACAACACTGGTTTTGCCACATGAACTTTGATACCAAATTTTGTTTTATCAATCTATCCTCATTCTTAAATCATAGTTTTCATAAGTCAGTTAGCCTTATATTTGTTGTGATACGGTAATTCTCATATTACTATACTGCGGCTGTTAATTAACAGATACGCTTACAAGTAAATCGTTATAAAAATATTTGTCGTTAAATTTAAACATTTTTTATGAATCATTAACCCTGTGAACATGTCGAGGAAGCGTAATAATGATTATAACTCTTTTTGTTACATCTGCGGGCAATTAACATTTAAAAAATAGTGACGAATTTTGACGAATCTTGTGTTGGAGTGTTATCAACAATATTTTGGTTTTTCTGTCACCCAAGAAGACAAATCCTGGGCTCCTCATGTCTGCTGCATAACGTGTGAAAAATTTTACTGACTGGAAGACAGGTGTTCGCCCTATGCAATTTGCTGTACCAATGATATGGACTGAACGGCGAGATCACGTTTCAGATTTGTTATTTTTGTCTCACAGATATAAAAGGTGTAAAATACAAAAAGAAAAACACAGTTATTTACCCCAACTTATCTTCGGCTATAAGACCAGTATTTTATTGTAAAAAAATGACAAAACAAATACCAGTTATAAATTCATTTGTTGAGAGCGACCATTCACAACCGTCAACTTCAGGCCAATGTGTTGAAGAGGATGATGACTTTGAGTTTGTAGAAATTGTAAACAAGCAACATTAGATAACTCAAAGAGACGTAAATGATTTGGTTTAGGATTTAAATTTATCAAAAAGTAGTCAAAACTACTAGGATCCCGTCTAAAACAATGGAATTTGCTAGATCATAATACGAGAGTATTGGTTAAGTAGTGAGAGTTGGGTAACGAGCTACTATTGTCATATCAAGGATTGGGTTGCAACATTTCTCTTACATTAAATTTTTTAGACTCTCACCTGGATGTTTTCCAGACAATTCAGGGGCTGTCAGTGACGAGCATGGTAAGAGACTCGATCAGAAAATTTCTAATATAGAATAGCTGTACCAAGGCAAATGGGGCCCATTTGGGCCCATTCTATATTAGAAAAGTTAGCAGCTTATTGCTGGACAATTAAAAGAGACCAACCAGAAGCTAAATACTCGAGAAAATCTTAGATTACATTCAGTCGTTTAGATAAAAAAAAAAATTTTATAACTAGATCCTTGTTTTTTCTTAATTTTTTATTTACTCAATAGAAAAAAAAAATTTTCACAGTTTATTTGGTTTTATAATTACCTATTAAAGTAAAAAATAACAAAAAAGTCTGTGTGACATTAAAAAGTCAAAATTTTGTTGACCAGTGTTATTGACTAACATTTAAACTAGCATGAAAGGGTTAATCTTTTTTTTTTTTTGATGACGTAGTGGAAACTCTTTTTACGAGCCGTCCAACCGGCCTTGGTGGGGCCGGAAGGGATGTGTGAGGCTCGGCCTGGGCAGGCCCCTACTCACTAAAACCATTGCGAAAGCCATCGGCCGCTATGTCGGTGTACCCCGGATCTGTCAGCGACAGGGCACACCAGCGACTGGCCGGTCCTGGCAAAGACCGGACTTACTCCCTCGGAGCATGGGGGCGATCCCGGCAATTAGGACCACCCCGACGACGCCGGGCTTTCAAAAGGGCCGGGTTACCACGCCGACCCCAGCCCGGAACACAGGGGTGCTATTGGAGGCGTAGGAATTGCCTCCGTCGCACCCCCGTACGACGACTGCGGGGGGAGGGAGCATCAGCCGCCCTCTCCCTTTCCCGCTGAGATGCCTCCTTCGTGGACATGACCGTCTCACAGAAGGAGGACACCGCCAACCAGGACCCATCACTCTCGAGCATCTTCTCCACGACACTCGAAAGCGACAGGTCCACTCCGCCGAGAGCCGCCACAAGGTCTTGGCGCTTCGCAGCCCATCTCGGGCACACCTCGAGGGTGTGCTGGGCCGAGTCCACCGCAGCGCCGCACTCATAGCAGCCTTCTCCCGGCTCTCTCCTGGCCGTCCGACACAGGTAGTAACCAAAGCACCCGTGCCCGGTTAAGACCTGCGTCAGAAGGGTTAATCTATGTTTATATTCAATATTAAACAACACAACACAAAACAAAATCAAGGATCGTCAATCAAAACATGCTGCAAATTAACAACAGTTACATTCTCGTAGTGCTCTCTAAAACTACAACTTAATATGCGAATAGAATCAAATGTTCGCTTTGATCAGGACAATGCTATACGTAAAGGCACTCGTTAGTGGATCGGCTAAAATGTTCTATGTATAAACCAGTTAATTATTATCAGACGCTTTCAGTTTTCACGGTTCGTTAGTATTACGGATACTCTTGACGTACATATATCGGATATATGTACGTCAAGAGTATGATTTTACTAAGTCCAGGAGCTAATGAGCTCGATGTATTATTGTAAAAATAATTACGAGTTCTTGATACATTTCCTTTTTAAATACATTTCGTTGTATGCAAATGTATATTGAAATTAATGTGTCATTTTATAGAATTTAAAACCATTACTAAAATAGTGATGAAGCTTTGCAATAGGTTGAATACATTGCAAGCTCTGTGGCAAATTCCTTGCTACAACAGATGGCGTTAAATGCTTAAAATGTGCTTCCACCATCACCAAGTCTGTCTTAATATCAGCCCAAACACTAAAACAAACGGAAAATGGATATGCCGTGATTGCAAATCGAGTCCTAAATAGTGTGTACCCGTTCAGGCTCCTTCCCATCATCCCGAGGATGCCGTGGATGATACTTTCGCGGATGTCAACCTTGGCGAAGACACGACGGCAGCACTGTTGCAGGAGATACGATTATTAAGAAAAGAGATGGCATCTGTATCAGGGGAAATGACTTTTTTTCGGGAATAGGTCTCTCGGCTTAACTCGACAATGTCGGAATTTAATAGTCGCCTTACTACCGTAGAAAGTAGAATTTCAGCTTAAGAAAAAGATGATATAAACAATCAAAGCCAAATTGAAGAAAGTACTAAAGCGGAAATATCGCGCTTGCGTATGCAAATGAATGATAGGGAGCAGGAACATTTAGCAACAGACTTCGAGTTAACTGGCATCATGGAAAAGCATGGAGAGAATGTCAACAGCACCGTGCTGTACTCTGCTAGAAAAGTCGGCATCGATCTTACCGAATAAGACATCGTGAGTGCAGAGCGATCGGGACCTCGGCGATCCGTGGCGGCTGATGGCGAGCGAATGCGCCCGCGTCCCATAGTGGTGCGGGTGACGCGCCGCTCACTGCGCGACGACCTGCTACGGGTCTTCCACAAATAGGTCTTGTTGGAATCATCATGGGACCATCTGTGAAGTCTATGCTTATAAATAAATTAATAGAAAACAGTGTGCGTTAAAGTTACTAATTCATTTGTCGCTCATATACTTAATGCTAAGTTTAGACTGTTGAAGTGTATACGGTTTTATCAAGGTTGCCAGTATCATAAATGAACCAAATTGAAATGGGACTACGCGGAAAGTCCCAGCCTCCAATTATGAATTTCAAATATAAAAAATTGAAATAGATTCATCCAGTCAAAAGTTTCGAGGTAACAAATATAAAAATAGAAACCAATTGAGAACCACCTCTTTTGTTTAAATTCGACTGAAAATGTTTGAAATGCTTGTTGGTGATAATAATAATCAACACCATGATTAAATTTAATGTTGTAGTGTAAATAAAATTATTCGGAATATGGTACAAGACTAAAATCCAACAATGACAATAAATAATGATAATTATAAATGAAAAGGCTTTTCAATAAAATCAACATTTAAAAAAATAAAAAGACTTCTTTATTTTTCGTCGACTTTTATAAAAATATTTTGTAAGATGTTTGCAATTTTCGTAGCTTTATATCAAGTCTCTTATATAGATTGCAATAAAATTTTCTTATTACTATTTTATTCGTCTTAGACCTAAACCATTATTCTATACTATATTCAATTCATATAAAGTCATAAAAATAGTCACGTTTTATTGTTATTTTATTAAATCACAGAAGTAACTTTGTTTATATAAAAAAACAAAGCAGGAGGAAGTCGCAGGTAATAAAAAACCTCACTATTAATAACTATAGATAATTTATATACATATCACAGAAATCAATGATTTTTTTATTACAACAAGATCTCAGGGAGTTATGAAAAAGAATTAGAAAAAGTTAATGGAAAAAAATTATGATCTTATTGATGACAATTTTTCTAAGAACAATTTACTTCTTATATAAAGAAAGCCAGCCAGTAATTGGTCTTAACAAACCGTATCTTGTTCCAAGTAGTGTAACTTGACATAATAAATAACTGAGTCAGTGTTATGGTCTTCTGATAGTTAACTTTTCCCAAGCAACAGGGTTCCTTATAGTCTAGGAGCTGATAAATTATCATGAAAAAATATGCACAAAATATGATTTAAAACAGACATACATATATAGCAGTACAAAAATATTACAAATCGTAACTAAATTGCAATATCTATAAAATAGTTTTCCTTACGTTTTACCTTTTCATGTATTACTACATCAAAGTCTAACTTTAATGGTACTCAGACAGTATTTATCTTTATAGCACGTATAATTTACAATGGCATCAAAGTTGAGAGAACGTGAGAGTAACGATGAATCGATTCAACCATCTTAGTCCTGCTCTTAGTGGGCTCTTAGAGTACACGTAGGGTGCGAGCTAATGTGGGCATAATAGTAAGTAGCCTGATAGTTAATTTTGTACGTTATATCGCTAGTACGAGTAATAAAAATAATTGACATTTGTCTCTTGGTTAACGATTGCGTGGTTCGTTAAATTTTATTTAATTACTGTCATATAAATAGGGTTTTATTGCTATAAGTTTGTGATAAATTTTGTGATTGTTTTTAAGCTAACCCTAAATAAATATATATATATATATATATATATATATATATATATATATATATATATATATATATATATTTTATTAGCAGTTTTTTGTATTGAATTATTGAAATTAGTATTATATTAGTTTTGTTTTGTGATTTTCTCCCTTCTGTTCATTTATCGCCTTTATCTTTATAAATTTACACACTATATTCAGCTTAATTAGCGTAAAATGGTTAAGATACGAAAGAGGTTGCTCAGAACTCTAAAGATCTAATAATTCAAGTGAATACGTATAAATACGAATTTATTTCCGACTCTGGCTTTCTCACTTTAAACTTTGTGATGGTCAATTGACTTCGATGACTGTCAGCTATTTCCAGCAGAATGATTTAGTTTTCTATTTATATTGAATGCAACAAAATAGAAAATAGTTAAAAAAAATGTTTGTTATAAGTTTTACTGAGTTAAAAAACATCTTAACCATTGTTTCAGTTTCAACTTAAAAAGTCAGCAAGAAGTCAGAATTAGTATAAAACATAACTCCTGTTTGCCATTTTGATACTTATGTCTATGAAAGGTGATTCGCAAATTATTGAATAAGCCTTGGTACAAAAAGATTAAAACACAGTTTTAAATAAAATATATATAAACGTGTTACAAATTCCCTGACTTCATCTATTTTATAAAATGTGCAAATTACCAATGATCCATTTTTAAATAATATTTGCATTAAAACCTTTCAGTGTATAGACTTTTCCGCAAGGATAAAGAAAATTATTTTAAAAATATATTAAAATACTAAATTATTTAATTGTAAATTATATATTTATGTACTTTCGTTCTTTAAAAATTCAATAGTCATCCTTTCTAGTATTAACATATGAATTCTTTTGTTCAACTTCAGTTACCTACTGTGAACGCCCGTCTGTTTTCTTGCCTTTGAGAAAACATTTACAAAACACGACTGCGGTACGATTAGATATTACCAGCAAGCAGTCTATTTGAAAGTTTTTCAATTACAACCAACAAATATTATTATGGTGCGAAGATATTATTGAAGGAGTATTTAATTGCCATTATTTTCACTTAAATGAAATATCGTTACCATAACTGTTTAAGCACTTTTCTTTAGGCGTTTTAGATTCTTCGTTACCCGTGGGAATGTACCGATGCAGAACCGTTCTTATATTCTATACGAAATTTACAGTAAGGAAATTGAATTTTTCAAATTCTACATCTTGCTTTTAGCGCCATCCTAACTTGATCTACAACTCCAACAAGTATCAAAGAGTTAGGGTTAAGTGTCAAAAAGTGTTCAAAAGATCCTCCAAAGTTGGTTCAATTCTAGCAATTCTTGTATTGTTACTTTTAAAATGTTATAGGATACACATTTATCTAGAATTAGAATTTTACTATAGATAAAACCAAATTTAACTAATAAACAAATAAAAATTTTAACCGTTTAAGCAAATTATCAAAATAAAATATTGCTAACGTTACTATTTTGCCGAACATTTATGTCGAAGTTTTAAAATTATAATTTTCGTATGAACGAATTCGAACTCTATAATCTTAGACATAGGACTGAATTTTACAGTTAAGTGGCATATATAACCAAAATCGAAATCATTATGAAAACGTGACATAGAGTGGCCTGTGATGACAGACTTTATTAAAATTTATTATGACTTATATTACATGAAGATGAGGTAAAAACAATGAAGAAAAAATGTGATTATATTTTTTACCATACAATGACGTAAATTAAATAAGGGATTGATTTAAAATGTTTTGTTTGTTAGTAATATTTTACTTAACATTTTTAAGGTTTGAATCATGCCAATTTGAACATTTATTTAATTAGTATAGTTATTTAGCATTAGGAACTTATGACCCTCAAGAGTGGAATAGAAATATACCAAAGTTGGAGTGGAAGCTAGGGCTAGTTAGAGTTACAAATTCAACGGTAAAGATACTAACAAGATTTCGAGTAAATAATTATATTAGAAAATCTTTCTTCTATCAGAAAACCCACAAGTTACTAATGTATATTCTTTTTAATCGAAGTAAAAAAAACTAAAAGTTTTATTGTTATATTTGTTGTTACTCATAGACAATCTGGAGTCGATCATTGGTTTTGGTGGCAATTACTCCGAATCATGACACGTATGAGCTATAACCTCGGTCAATCATATTGAAAGTAATTTAACAAATCGATGTATAGCGCCATTCTATTAACAATCAAGTTTAAATGAAAGGGAAAATATTTAACCAACTAGCTTTATATATCAATACATATCAATATATCAATGCCAAAATGTGAATTTATTTAGATTTCAAGCTATGCTTTTAAAAAGAAGCTGTAAACATTGTACCTGTCTATTTAAAAAAAAACAATGTTGAAAATATTTTTTTCTATTCCAATATTTTGTGTCTCTATGTTCCTTAAACATTAAATTTCTTAACGATTGATTTTATTGATTAAAAGATAAAGTTTTAAATGTAACGAAGATTCAGTAGCAATACTGTAAGAAGATTTATTTTGTTTATATTCAAATTAGTATAACACTAGCCTTTATCTTTTTTATGATATATAAATTATAATGTACATTAAAATTGCTGCCAATCAGGTTACAACAATAGGTATACATACATATACTTGTTTTATTTATTTCATTCGACATTTGTAAACTTAAATAAATTTACTTTCTTTTTCTTCATGTACTTTATGAGTAATCTTTAATTTTTAATTATAAATAATTTCACTTGTATATTATAAATTTTATTAATTTACGCCAAGTAAATTTTATTATTAATTTATCTAAAGAACTTTTCATGATACGAATAGGTTTTTCTCATAAACAATAAGTCTTATTACTATTTTAAAAGTAAAAGCTCACAGGAAATATCACTTTTTGTGTGTAACGTGTGTATTTTATCTTTCTTAAGTTGAAGCCCTTGTTAATGCCTAGTTCAATACATGATATAATCACTAAGACATTCCGACCGACGAGTGAATTGTGTGCACAGATATTTGTCAAAGACAAGCTTATCTCAATCCTCCTCGAATTCTGACACCAATAATGATTTATTCTTCTAAATGATTTATTCTTCTAAAACATCTGCGATTGTTTAGTTTCCTCATAATATAATTAAAAATAAATATTTTTAAATACATTTATATTTATTTTAAATACGTTCTGACTCTTTTTGTCTACCGACGAATTCATAACAAAAAAGGGTGTATATATATATATATATATATATATGTATAATTTTAAAAACTTCGCACTGGTCGTTCAAAATATTTTAGCTTGTTTTACCTGAAAACCTCATGCTCAATAATCTTAAAGTTTGATAATTT